AATATACTGAGAATGGGCATATGCAAGTGAAAAATTAATTAGGGGAAGAATATGTGGTCTAGCTGACTTCACTTTGGAGGAAGGCCTAGGGATGAGTTTGCACAGTAACGAATGTGATTATGAGAGGAAGAATTTGTGTTCTACACATGTGTTAAACTGGACCTGAATGCTGCAGTTTGTGGGTACTACACCTATATGTCATTTTCCCCCACTAACTTTAGTCAAAGACAGTTAGATACTAAATCAGGTAGAAGAGTCAAACATTTACAATAGCCTCTAAAGTTATTGAACATTTAATATGCGCTAGACTTTATAAGTACTTCACATAGTCAATTTCGGTCAAGTCTCTCAACAATCCTGGGTTAGGTACTACTACAGAAGAGGAAACTGAGGCACTTGCAAAGTACTTCATACAAGGTCATAGTGATAGAGCCAAGACTTGAATCCAGAACCATTTGACACCAAAGCACAAACTCACAACATTATGCTCATTTGCATTTTAATGCCAATGTGAATGAAGTGATCAGTGTGTTCTGACTGGAGTCTCCAGTTTCTCTCTTCCTCCAAGGCACTGTCTAGAGAAATAGTTCTGGTTGGGCTAGATTCTTCTTTACCCATATTTACAGTCATCCCACCTTGACACATGTTGAGTTACCCTACACCATCTGCACTGCCAGGCAACATCCTTCAGAACCTCTTATTAATCACAGAGCTCCCACTTTTTATTTATGCTCTTATGCAAAGTTCAATCTATGAGGTTTAATTTAGCATTCGATTTCTAACAAAGAATTTGTTTCCTTTCAAATGTGCTATTAAAATTCTGGCTGCCTCTTTGTTAATCTAGCAAATGATTTCTCTCAAGTTATAGTTTTGCCCTTCTGTCATGAGAAAGTTAAGAGTTAAAATTATAACCATAGCAGAAAATGTCTTACCTTGATCTCTGAAGTTCCATCCAGTTCTATAACTCCATAATTTTATTGTTCTTGGAAAAATAAACTTTTTCTGCAAGATTGAGTCAGTCCTTGGTTGCCGGTTGAGGAAGGGTTAGGAAAGGGAGGTGTAATGGTTAAGATTGTGTGTCAACTTGGCTGGGCCAGGATTCTCAGTGTTTTGGCAGTTGTGTGATGTTGTGGTCACTTCCCTGTTGAGATTTGATATGTGATCACCCCCCGATGGGATCTGCTGTGAGTAGCCAATCAGTTGAAGGAGAGTTTCCTTGGGCGTGTGGCCTGCATCGAGTGCAGGTGCACGTTCAGGCAGGGCTCAGGGGGCTTTTCTCATTCTGGATCCTGCAACTGGCTCGTTTGTCTGACCTCTGGTTCTTGGGACTTGAGCTAGTGGCTTACCTGCAGTCTTGCCTGCTGATCTTGGGATTTGTTGATCTTCGCAGCCTGTGAGCAAGAGCCCTGCTCTCTGGCCTGCTGATCCTGGGTTCACCAGCCCCTGCGGCTATATGAATCAGGAGAAGCCTCTATCCTGACCCATGGACTTGGGATGTTCCAGCCTCTACAATCACATGAGCCATTTCCTTGATATAAATCTCTCTCTATATATATATGTTTATACGCTTTACTGTTTTGCTTCCCTAGAAAACCAAGCCTAAGACAGGACGGAAGGGGAAGAGAGGGAGAGGAGGAATAATTGTCCTCTAAAGAAATTCGAAAGTAATTCTTTGATTTGATATATAAGTCAATATTAATGGTAATGGTATATATTATTTGGTGATTTGGGGTGAATAGTTACAATAATCTTTACTATTATAACCTTGATGGAGTTCAGGATTAGAAACTGAAGGACCTTTTTGTAGAGACAGTGCTTACCATGCCAAGTGTCTCCTCACCTTTTGCCACCCCACTCCCCATTCTACTGGAATGATCAAGAGTACACTTGGGTGAAAGAAGCAAAACTATTCTAAAGCACTGAAAGAGGTGAGACTCATTTTATTTTATAAACCTGGCATAATCCTGACAAAAATAGCTACATACAAAAACCAAAGATCAATCTGTATTAGTATATAAGAATAAAATCCAATAATATCATCCATCACTTTAATAGCTCAAACGGGAAAAAATAAATACAATAAATAGCCAAATATATTAGATATAATTACATTTCATTAAAAAGAAAAAAAATACCCAGTAAACTAGAAGTAGATATTTTCTCAAATGATAAATATGCCATATATTACTTAATGTGAAAACACTAAAGGTATTCCCATTGAAGTAAAGAACAAAACAAACATAGTTTCTGCCTTTCACTTATATTATTCTGGAAGTTTCTGCAATAAAGCAGGAAAGTGAAAAAGGAGATACAATATTGGAATATTGGAAAAGATGAAATTATTTGCAAGCAATATAGTTACAGAAAATACAAAAGAAGCACCTGCCATGCTACTAGAATTACTAAATGCTCTAGGTAATGACTAAATTCAAAACAAATAAAATGAAATCTATAGCTCTCTTATATGCCTCAGCATTAACAGAAATGAAAATGCAATGAAGAAATAAACTCCTTCATAATAAAAGCATTAACTGTAAAAAGTGAAATATGAAAGAACTTTTTCTAATCTTAGGTTAGGGAAGCACTTTCTAACCATAAAAGAAATAAATTATTTGATTTGTTTGACTACAGAAAAATGAAAACCATATGTATATTAACAGTAAGTAAAGGAAACAAAAAAGCCCGAAAATATTTGCAAATATGTTGAAGATAACAGACTGCTAGCCAGACTGATGAAAGTGGCGGGTGGGTGGGGATACTCAAATTACCAATATCAGGAATCAAAGAGTATCTACAGACACTAAAGACATTAAAAAGGTAACAAGAGAATATTATGAGTAACTCTAGACCCATAAATGTGACAACTTAGATGAAATGGACAAATTCCTTGAAACGAGCCAAAACTCATTCAAGAAGAAACAGATACCCGGGAATGCAAAGCTGGTTCAACATTTGAAAATCAGTCAACATAAAGAAGAACTACATGGCCATTTCCTTAGACGCAGAAAAAAATCCAACAAAATTCAACATCCATTCATGATTAAGAATTATCAGAAAACTAGGAATAAAAGGGAATTTCCTTGACTTACAAAAATCCTTTGAAGCATTCATTGGTGGTTCAGTGGTAGAATTCTTGCCTTCCATGCCAGAGACCAGGGCTCAATTCCTGGCCAATGCTCTTCATGCACAGCTACCACCTATCTGTCAGTGGAGACTTGTGTATTGCTATGATGCTGAACAGGTTTCAACGGAGCTTCCAGACTAAGACAGACTAGGAAGAAAGGACTGGCAATCTACTTCCAAAAATCAGTCAGTAAAAGCCCTATTGATCACAACAATCCAATCCCCATCTGAATAGAATCGAACAGTATTTTGTTTCATTGTGCATATGGTCGCCATGAGCTGGGTCCTACATGATGACAGTTAATAACGAGAACAACAAAAAATCCTACAACTAACATACTCAATGGTGAAAGACTGAATGCTTTCTCCCTAGTATTGGTCACAAGGCAGGATATGTCTGCTCTTACTACTCCTATTCAGCATCATACTGGAGTGCCTAACCACTGCAGTAGTATAAGAAAAAGAAATAAAAGGCATTGGAAAGGAAGAGTGGAAAGATTGGAAAAAAGAAAACATTTATTATAAATAATAACCTGCAGTCAACATGATTGTGTACATAGAAGAAAATCTACATAATTGAGTTTAGCAAGATGTCAGAATACAAGGTCAATATATAAAAATCAATATTTTTATATATTAACAATGAAAAAATGGAAATTAAAATTTTTAAAAATACCGTTTACAATAATACTAAAAATCATGAAATACTAAGAATATGTGTAAGGTTTTATGCTGAAAACGCTGATGAAACAAATCAAAGACCTATATAAAATGTATTTATGGATTGTATTTATGGATTGAAAGACAAATATTATTAAGCTTGTCAACTCTCTCTGGTCTATGGAGTCAATGCAATTATCAAAATCCAAGTAGGTTTATTTATTTATTTATTTTAGGTCAACAAGCTGATTCTAAAATGTATATAGAAAGGCAAAGGAACTAGAATAGCAAAACAATTTTGAAAATGAACAAAACTGGATTACTCACATTACCCAAGTACAAGATATATAAAGTTACAGTAATCAAAACAATGTATTGGTAAAAGTATAGACATATAAATCAGTGAAAAAGAGTTTAGAAATAGACTCACACATATATGGTCAACAGATTTTCAACAACGGTGCAAAGACAATTCAGTACGGGATCATCTTTTCAATAAATAGTATAACAATTGAATGTTGTTGTTAGTTGCCGGTGAGTCAATTTCAACTCATAGCAACCCCCTGGGACAGAACTGCCCCATAGGATTTTCTAGGCTGTAATCTTTATGAGAGCAGATCTCAGGTCTTTCTCCCACAGAGTTGCTGGGTGGGTTTGAACCACCAACCTTTCTGTTAGCAGCCAAGCGCTTAACCATCCGGCCTCCTTGAACAACTGGATATCCATATGCAAAAACAATGAGCCTTGATCTTTATCTTGTACCATATATAAAAATTAACTAAAAGTGGATCATAGATCTAAATGTAAAAATTGAAAACTATTAAACTTCTAAAAAATAATAGAAAATCTTTGTAACGTTGTGTTAGTCAAAGATTTCTTAGGTACAACACCAAAAGCATAATTCATTAAAGAAAAACATTGTTTTTAAAACTTTAAGGAAATGAGGAACTACTCTTCAAAAGGCACTGTTAAGAAAATGAAGAAATCACAGCCTCAGACTGGGAGAAAACATTTATAAAGCACATGTCTGATAAAGGTCTTGTATCCAGATTATGGAAATTAATATCTCACTAGAAATACAGAAATGCAAATTGGGTTACCATTTTTTACTTTCTCAATTTGACAAAGATAAAACATGGGATTTTTGTCCAGTTACTGAGAGTGTGAAGATATGGGTAACTCCATGTTTTTCTGATGGAAACTTCCGTTTTTGGGAGGAAAATTCAACAACATGAACCAAAGCATAAATGTATCCATACCCTTTAATATAGTAAACTTGATATAGTAATTATAGTAATTCTAGGAATGTATCCTAATAACCTTACACACCAAGATTGCTACGTAAGTATGCTCATTATTCCAATACTTATATTAGCAAAAATGAAAACAAAACTTGGACAAGGACTACTAAAAAAAATATGGTACATTCATAAATGTTATGCTATGCAGACATGAAAATGTAGTTTACAGAGGATATTTGATATGGGAAAACGTTCAAGATATGTTAAATGGAGAAACAGGACATTAAACTGCACAAGTTCTCTCTCTGTATATAAAATTATGTGCCCAGGAGAGGGGATAAAACAAAAACTGTGAATGGGAGTTTTCTCTGTATGATCAGATTACTGGTGTGGTGCCCATCCCCATCCACTTTTTAAAAACAATTTTCCGAAGAACATGTATTCAGAACACAGAAGTTGGCTTTTACAAAGAATTTAGACATTCCACAGTTGTCAGCATAATATGCAACATGAAATTTCTGGCAAATGGAGGGGTAAAAATGCTAATATGGCACATATGAATCTGATTTTGCAAAGGGGTAGGCAGACTGAAGTCTATGACTGCAAGAAATGGCAGCTCAGAACCCTCTCCCAATTTTATTTTTGCTGCTTCTCTAATATGGCACAACCGTTTAGTTGACCTAAGGGTTCCCCTTCCATCACTAGGCCCTTAAGCACCTTCAAGGTCATGTTGAATAATGGTTTTATTTGGGAATAAACGAATTCCCTTGGGACTTCCCCTTTATTTGATCTCTGATTTGGCTAATAATGAAACTTCTCCAGTACAGAAGTAAAACCTTCCTGTTCATGCACTCTCAGAAATACCTGTAAATGCTGTCCATCAAGACTTAATTGTTGCGCTCTAGTGGGAAAATCCTCAAGTAACTTCTTGCTATTCACATACTATTGATGAGTTTAAGCATAGAACGCTAGGACAAATACTAGCCTCCCCCCAGCCCCATGCAAATTCACCTGTTTTCCAAATTAGGCTTTTGGAGGAAGCTACTACACTTTCTAATGCTTTGTTTGATAAGCACTGTGCTGAAGGACCTTTTCGTGTTAACATTAAGCCTATAAGGTGGGTATTATATGAATTCCAATAGAGATAATAGATTACAAAAGTCTAATCCTCTTCCAATTATCCAATAAAACACCAAGACAACAAATACTCAATTTATTATGCAATTTAAGAAGTATCTTCAACATTTAAGACTCCAAGGCTTCCTGAATTTACTAACATTTAATTCTCAAGTAAAGACTGAGTTGTATTGGCCTTCTATGCATAATTACAAAATGAAGTAGGTTTGGTGGCCTAAGCTTTTGTGGGGAGAGATGAAGGGTGTGGGGAAAAAAAAAAAACTTTAAACATGGTAAAACAAAGACACAGCTTAAACTGTCAACAATCTGATCAGCTAAATAAGATAATCAATGATGCACTCAAATGCAGAAGTAAATTGACTTGATTCTTGAATACCTAGCATAATGTTTTCTTTTTTGGGCTTGGTTCTGTTCTCGCAGGATTGCACATTACTCTCTCCACTTGAACTCATGAGAGGTAGAAAAAAGATGCTGATGCAGTATTTTCTAATGGTTTAAATTTCACTAAAAATGCTTTTATCAGTACTGCTTCGCTTTCATATATCAATATTCTAAGAACACATTACTCTTATTAAGAGGAAAATACACACTTAAAACAACCCGTTTTCATAATCTGTTTCCCTTAATCTAGGAGTATCTATAACCAAAATAACTCTTACAGTAAGGTTAAAAAAAATCCTCACTTTATTTTGAAAGGAAAAAGTGCATGGATGCATTTTTTATTCCAAGACTAAGGGCTTCACAGAAGTTAAGTTTAATATCCAGTAGTTAAATATTACATAAACATGTGTTTACATACTTATAACTATTCGTCTTGTCCAGCCACTAAGGAAAGATCAACGGAAATTAATAGAATGAAAGTTCTTTTTCCTGCCATAATTTTTTTTTAAAGAAAGGATAAAATACATGTATATATACTAGTGGCAAGAAAATAGGAAATACAAGTAACTTGACAAGACTAGGTTTATTCTATGTATAATTTTTATTAATAAAAAGATTAGCCATGACCATATAAAAATGAGTGGCTTGGGCTTATAGTTTGCTACATCCAAGATCTTAAAAATTATACTTGAGAATAGTGTTACAATGATTTATAATAGCATTCTTTGATAGAGGCATTTGATTTCTAGCAATAAAGACTCTTAAATATATATAAAAACTAACCCTTACTGTCATGGATGAAAATCATCATAGCTACTCATCAATCAAAAAAGAATTCCCGAGTTGTTTGTAGTATTATCTCAAGACATACACCCAAAGGTTAGGAAAACAACCTCCCAAAAAGATTACTGAAAAGTTGTCCAGTCAGAGAACAGAATGTCACTGATGCTTATGGCAGGGGAATATCTCGCTTCAAAGTTAAGTCTGAAGGATAAATTACGAATGTACCCAAGATCCCCAAATTAGTAAAACTGCCATTATTTTAAGATTTATCAGACATATAATCAGTGTTTAAATACAAATCCAGATTTGTTGAGTTCGAAAGATAATTTTATTACATAAAATTTCTCCGGTCTGCTAAAATATTAACAAGACAATGTTTGTGTAAGTGTAGAGGGAATTACGGTTCAATTGTTAATCACTTTTTACTACTGAAGGAGTGGACATACATGAAGCACTGAGTCCTCTAAAACTTGAGGATGTTAAATATTACTGCTCAACTGAAATACACTACCATTCTCTAATATAAATGCCCACTTATCTTTTAAAAATAGTCAATTTTTTCTTAATTAAAGCTTCCAGAAGATTGAAAAAGGTACAGTCTATTAAAAATAGGGGTACTCTTCGTCTTTGGATAAAGTATCATCACTTATGGAAAACGTAGCCGTATATAGATTTTATTTGAAGAGCTGCTGGAGTCCATTAAGCACTTTTGGAACACTGTACCTTTAAAGTTTGTCTTTAATAACAGCTTTAGAAAACCAAAAATTACAAACACATCCATGGCAGAGAACATTTAATTCAGATAAAACATCCATTGCTGTCTAGTCGACTGACTCATAGAAACCCTAAGGACAGAGCAGAACTGCCCAATTGAGTTTCCAAGGCTGTAATCTTTACAAAAGCAGACTGCCACATCTTTTTCCCGCAGAGCAGCTGGTGGGTTCACACCTCTAACCTTTCGGTTAGGAGCTGAGCACTTTACCGCTGTGCCACCAGGACTCCTTCTCAAATTTGATAGCAGTGAAATAAAGTTTAGTGCAGTGTCAATTTTAACTATGTAAATCACCTGATGTTAGTTTTATGCTATGTTGTATGACTGAATGACAAAAACAAGTTTCAACTTATTAAAAAAAGTTTAAGTCTTTCACTTAGTATTTACAGCAAGGCAAAACTGAAATCAAGTGCTGTAATGTCTTAAAAAATGAAGTTCGACAAATTGGTTCCAACTTACAATAAGTTCGTTAACAGATAATGAGTTAAATGTAGATATTAATGTGCCCAATACCCTCCTAACTACAGTAAAAAAAAAAATTCTCTAGTGGAATTTTATAGATTGTGAAATCCTTAGTAATACCAAATATATATTCAAAACATGTTCATACAGAACCAATACCTCTTCTTCTCCATGTAAAAGACTTGTTAAAAATAATTAACAAAAATGCCAAAAAACAATGGAAACTCCTTTCATTTCACTGTGCCCAAGGATAAGACACAAAATATTGCCTTAAAGAGGTAGATCAAAAAGAAAAAGAAAACCAGATTCTCCATTCTTTGTCACTTTTATTCAGTAGTTTTTTTTTTTTTCCCTTATTTTCAGTGCCAGACATGGCAAGGATTACAGCCAACTGTTATCAAAACATTTGTTCGCAACATACACCCCCCTTTACCACTGACCCCAAAATGACTCATTTTGTGTGCTTTCGTTCCTTCTTTCTTTTTTTTTTTTATACACCACCACCAAGACTGGGTGGAGGGGGCAAGGTAAGAGAGATGAAGGGGAGGAGTCCAGGAAGCCAGAGGAGGAGGAATGCTACAAGCCACAGTAAGAATGAGCTGTATTTAATTTAAAAAAAGGGGAAGGGGTGTACCCCACAAATGATACAGTATGAGGATACACAATTAAATCCCATAGCATGACTGAAGGCTTTCACTGTGTTTGACGTCATCACAATGGAAGGCATAAAAAGTGGAGTAAATCAATGTTGATACAGTCCAATCTAGTCCATTAGGCAAGATGGTGCAAGAAGTCATTTAAATTAAAAGTGCCCTACCCTTACCTAAATGGCTAGCAGACATGGAGAATAACACGGTGATTTATCCAGAGCTTTCTCCATGTAGCTATAAAAATGTGTTGTCAAATGGCACATTGTTAAACACTGGAAAGGGGTGCCACAATGGACCTCTCTCTTTTATAGGTACGAATGCTAGATTCAACTATCTCAACTAAGCAGGAAGTGGGCTCTTCTGCTAGGAATGCCAACCCTAATTCACTTTGTCTTGAAATATATACAGATTGTTTGTAGTAGCTACAGCAATGATATTTTCCTTGGGGTGCCAGGCTGTATGAAGTATTTTCTTGTTGAAGTCTAGGCTGTCAACACTTATTTCATCTTTCTTTCTCTTGCCACTTGCACAGACTTTGCGTGGCTTCAGAACCGTACGAGGTTTATTGTTTTCCCGTGATGCTTCTAGGGTTATGTCTCGCTTTGTGTTCCTGTCAAACATTCTGAAGAAATTATTGTAAGATCCAGTCATGACAACACTGTAAAGGTAGACAGAACATTCAGTCAAACAAATGAACAAGAGACTGTTTTTAGTAATATTATTCAGTAATTAAATCTAGCCTAGCAGTCTACAGGAAACAACTACTTTAAGAAGACTGGAATTAAGAAACAGGGTTATTGACAGTAACCCAGTATTTTCTTTCTTTTCAATTTTGCTAATTTCTTTTCTTCTCCATTCCTTGCCCCTTTTCTTCTTCCTTACTAATGATGTCTCAGGTTTAGTAGCAGCATTCAAAGACAAGGCTTCCTTATCCTGACCAAGAGGACTCTAGGTTCATTATGGCCGGTCTTTTACTAGAACTCATGCTATAATCAGACTTTAAAAAAAAAAAATCAGACAAAAGATGAAAGTTCCAAGTTCTACTATTATCTGTAACATGAACTCACATCATATCATGCTTCAGTGATAAAATTGTTGAATAAAGTAACTCTAATAACTTTATATGCAAGCTTAAATAATTCTAAGATTATGTCTTCTTTTACTATTTTCTGTTTTATTGCAACATAGTAAATGCTAAAAAAATACTGACAACAAAAACATGGGAAGATTAAGGATTATTTATCCTTGGTAATAATGGTATGCATTTCAATAACATAGTAAAAAGGAATCATACAACAGAAAAATTGGAGATTACAAACAGCAATAATTCCTTATGGTTAAAAGGTTGTAACAATGATATACACCAATTACCACTTCTATGAAGTGTTAAAGTAACGTATGAAAAAAGTGGTACATAACAGGAAAACCAAATTAAGTATCTACTGCCTAAATACTTGTAGAAATAGTATAACAAAGAGTTAACAACCAAACTGAAATTTCACCCTTTTAATTATTTCCATCTGGTCATAAAGAAGAAAAAATTTAAGGACATTCAAATCATAATTTAGATATTTAGAATTTTTTGTGTATTTTCACATTTACCAGTGAAATACAATGTTTAATTTTTTATCTGCCAGCACTGCTATGGTATATCCAAGACTACTATATTTATTTCAAAGAAACCCTGGGGCGGGGGGAAATGAAATTATGACTTGTAATTTACGTCAGTCTAAAAAAAGTTGGTTGGATTTTTAGTGAATATGGCAACCATATCTGTTGTTAGTGGCCACTGAGTTGGCCCCAGACTCATGGTGACCCAAGTACAACGAAGTAAACGTTATCCATTTCTGTGCCATTCCATGACTGGTTGCGGATTGGGTCATTGAGATTCATGGGTTTTTACTGGCTGATTTTTGGAAGCAGATCATCAGGCCGTTCTTCCTAGTACATCTAAATCTAGAAGTTCTGCTGAAACCTGTTCAACATCATAGCAAAACACAATCCACCACTGACAGACAGGTAGTAGGCATGAGGTGCAATTGTTCGGGAATTGAACGCAAATCTCCTACACGGAAGGTGAGAATTCTACCACTGAACCACCATTGCCAAGCAACCATATTAGGAGAGTGAAATAGTAAGTTTCTTTCCTTTAATAAAGTTCACATTTGAATGAGGAGTTCAAACTAAAATCAATTACCTGTCAGATCCATTCCAACAACATTCAAATTTATCAAATATGCAGTCATTTTCATATAGTGAACACAGTTTACTTCTGAGGTATTCATGCACCTGGGCAAAAACATAAATATATTACATATATACTTAACCTCATGAACTACCTGTTGAAATTAAGAAAATAATTTAATGAGTCAATCTTAAAAAAAAAAAAAAGTGCACACACACACTCCTTTTAATCTTCATCTATCTCCTTATTAACAATAAAAGCCTTCTATCCTAAAATTTAGAAATATACTAGCCCCCTTGCAGAAATAGACATTTTCCTATTGCAGAACAGAAAAAAAGCCCCTTTTAAGCATGGCACATGCACTCTTCATAAACTTGAAGAAAATACTCAGGACAGAAAACATTTGAATCTGGTGCAGAGAAGAGACTAATTAACAGTATCATACCAATACTTAAATATCATACTACTTAGCTTGCAGTCTACTAATTGCTGATTAAAAAACATTGAATACTATGCTTTCTTTTTAAATACCATTTTATAGGTATAAATAACTGAAGTATGTTTTCATTCCACCACGTGTCTGTCAGTTTGTAGTACTGTGGTAGCTTGCATGTTGCTGTGATACTGGAAGCTTTGCCACGGGTATTTCAAATACCAGCAGAGTCACCCTTGGTGGATGCGTTTCAGTGGAGCTTCCAGACTAAGACAGACTAGGAAGAAGGGCCTGGCAGTCTACTTTTGAAAAACTGGCCAGTGAAAACCTTATGAATAGCAGCAGAACACTGTCTTACATAGTGCCAGAAGACGAGCCTCACAAGGTGGAAGGCACTCAAAAGACTGGGGAAGAGCTGCCTTCTCAAAGTAGAGTCGACCTTAATAATGTAGATGGAGTAAAGCTTTTGGGATCTTCATCTGCTGATGTGGCATGACTGAAAACGAGAATATATAGCTGCAAACATCCATTAACAATCAGAACGTGGAATGTTTGAAGTATGAATTTAGGAAAACTGGATGTCGTCAAAATGAGACGGAACACATAAATATCAATATCCTAGGCATTAGGGAGTTGAAAAGGACTGGTATCGGCCATCAGACAATCACATGGTCTACTATGGCAGCAATGATAACTTGAAGAGGAATGGCGTTGCATTCATCGTCCAAGAGAATATTTCAAGTTCTATCCTGAAGTACAATGCTGTCAGTGATAGGATAATATTCACACACCTACAAGGAAGACCAGCTGACTATTACTCAAATTTATGCACCAACCACTAAGGCCAAAGATGAAGAAATTGAAGATTTTTACCAACTTTTGCAGTTTGAAATTGATCAAACATGCAATCAAGATGCACTGATAACTACTGGCAATTAGAATGCAAAGTTGGAAACAAAGGACTGTAGTTGGAAAATCTGGCCTTGGTGACAGAGATCGTATGACAGAATTTTGCAAGACCAACGACCTCTTCATTGCAAATACCTTTTGTCGACAACATAAACAGCGACTATACACATCTACCTCGTCAGCTGGAATGCACAGGAATCAAATCGACTACATCTGTGTAAACAGGTGATGGAGAAACTCAATATTATCAGTCAGAACAAGGCCAGGGGCTGATGGTGGAACAGACTATCAACTGCTCACGTGCAAGTTCAAGTTGAATTGGAAGAAAATTAGAACAAGTACACGAGAGCCAAAGTATGATCTTGTATATCCCACCTGAATCTAGAGACCATCTCAAGAATCAATTTCATGCATTGAACACTAATGACTGAATACAAGTTGTAGAATGACATCAAGGACACCATACATAGAGAAAGAAAGACATCATTAAAAAGACAGGAAAGAAAAAAGGACAAAAATGGATGACAGAAGAGACTCTGAAGGTTGCTCTTGAATACAGAGTGGCTAACGTGAAATGAAGAAATGATGACGTAAAAGAGATGAATAGAAGATTTCAAAGGGTGACTCAAGAAGACAAATTACAGTATATTGAAATGTGCAAAGACCTGGAAATAGAAAGCCAAAAGGGAAGAACATACTCCACATTTCTCAAGCTGAAAGAACTGAAGAAAAAATTCAAGCCTCGAAGTGCAATACCAAAGGATTCTACGGGAAAAATATTAAAGGACGCAGGAAGCATCAAAAGAAGATGGAAGGAATACACAGAGTCACTGTACCAGCAAGAATTGGTTGATGTCCAATCATTTCAGAAGGTAGCCTAAGATCAAGAACCAATGGTACTGAAAGAGGTCCAAGCTGCACTGAAGTCACTGGTGAGAAACAAGACTCTAGGAATTGACTGAATACAAATTGAGATGTTTCAACAAACTAATGCAGCACTGGAAGCATTCACTAGTCTATGCCAAGAAATTTGAAAGATAGCTACCTGGCCAACCGACTGGAAGAGATCTGTATTTGTACCCATTCCAAAGAAAGGTGATCCAACACAATGTGGAAAACACTGAACAATATCATTAATATCACACACAAGTAAAATTTTGCTGAAGATCATTCAAAAGCGGTTGCAGCAGTACATTGACAAAGAACTGCCAGAAATTTAAGCCGGATTCAGAGGAGGACGTGGAACAAGGGATATCACTGCTGATGTCAGATGGACCATGGCTGAAAGCAGAGAATACCAGAAACATGTTTACCTGTGTTTTATTGACTATGCAAAAGCATTTGACCGTATGGATCATAACAAATTACAGATACCATTTTGAAGAATAGGAATTTCAGAACTGTTAATTGTGGTTGTGAGAAACCTGTACTTAGACCAAGCAGCAGTTGTTTGAACTGAACAAGAGGATACTGTGTGGTTTAAAGTTAAGAAAAGTGTGCATCAGGGTTGTATCCTTTCACCATACTTATTCAATCTGTATGCTGAGTAAACAATCCGAGAAGCTGGACTACGTGAAGAACGGGGCATCAGGATTGGAGGGAGACTCTATAACAACCTGCGGTATGCAGAGACACAACCTTGCCTGCTGAAACTGAAGAGGCTCTGAAGTACTTACTGATGACGATCAAAGACCACAGCCTTCAGTATGGATTATACCTCAACATAAAGAAAACAAAAAACTGGGCTAATAAGCAACATCATGATAAATGGAGAAGACTGAAATTGTAAAGGATTCATTTTACCTGGATCCACAATCAACGCCCATGGAAGCAGCAGTCAAGAAACTAAAAGACGTGTTGCAGTAAGCAAATCTGCTGCAAAAGGCCTCTTTAAAGTGTTAAAAAGCAAAAATGTCACTTCAAGGACTAAGGTGCACCTGACCCAAGCCATGGTGTTTTCAATCACCTCATATGCGTGTGAAAGGTGGACACTGAATAAGGAAGACCACCTTTAGATTATGGCGTTGGAGAAGAATACTGAATATACCGTGGACTACCAGAAGAACAAATAAATCTGTCTGGGAAGCAGCACAGCCAGAATGCTTATTAGAAGCAACTATGGTGAGACTTTGTCTCACATACTTTGGACATGTTATCAGAAGGGACCCGTCCCTGGAGAAGGACACCATGCTTGGTAAAGTAGAGGGTCAGCAAAAAAGAGGAAGACCGTTAACAACATGGACTGACACAGTGGCTGCAACAACAGTTCAAGCATAACAACGTTTGTAAGGATGGCTCAGGACCGGGCAGTGTTTTGTTCTGTTGTACATAAGGTCCCTATGAGTCAGAACCGACTTGATGGCACCTAACAACATGTTTTCATTAAATGCTCATGCTACGCATAGCATGATCATGTGCCAGTTTAGTGATAAATTATTTGGTTAACTCATGGTATGCATTATTTACAAATGTGGTATCATCACTTAATATTACTTACATAATATCAAAAGGTACTGAATATGTACCTCTATAGTACAAAGTATAATTCTGTATTTACTCACTAATATTTCACAAAGGTAAAAACTAGAAAACAAGTAAATCTGGTATTTACAGTGTTCTGAGAAATATGATGCAATTAAACATTATTACTATTAAGGTACCAAAAAAATTTTGAAGTGTTTGCTGTGATCAGAGGGAAAACAAGGATGCTCTATCTCACTAGCCTTACTTTACTGACAGAGAACCTTAAAAAGAAATGACAGGAAAGAGTAGGTTTCTCAATGTTCAAAATTCTCTACTCTTTATGAAACAATCTCAACATATTTTAAGTATCCACTTTAACTTTATGCGTAGCAGAGTGACTCAGACCATGTCTATGTGACATTAACTGAAACTGTTAATACAGAGGAGTTGAAGCCCGTGTATGGTTAGGATGGAAAGTCAGTGTACAAGGCAAAAAAACAAAAAAAAAAAAACAAAAAAAAAACACCCTTCAATCACACACAGCTCGGTGAGATACTTGTACAAATTCAAGAAAAGTAAATGAATCCGTATAAGCTAAACTTGAGTATGATGTAACTCTACTCTGGATCAGTAATTCAATTCAGCACAGGTAGAAAAACTGCAAATTAGACAAAGTTAGGTAGAAAACAACTCAGCAAAGCTTTAAAATGCATGTAAAGGGTTTCTCACCAAACAATTTAAGAGTATGAAACTAAAGTCAAATAAATTACTCTCAGTTGGAATGGGGTGATGATAGTGGTGGGGAAGATCACTAGATTTATCAGAATCTTGGGGGTTATACAAGTGTAATTTGAAAATGAAGCAGTACTTTATCCCTTTGCTTTTATTTTGACCAGGGTATTTATTTTGAAATTTCAAATACTATTAAGGAAGGAGGATCTTGAGTGTTTTATGTTTGTCAAAAAAAAAAAAAAAAAGAAAAGAAAAAAACCCTCAAACATGTTGCCACTGAGTGAATTCCGACTTATGGTGGCCACCGTGTGTTACAGAATAGAACTGAGCTCCATAGCGTTTTCTTGGCTGTAATGTTTATGAAAGCATATCGCCAGGCCTTTTTTCCATGCCACCACCGAGTGGGTTGAAATCACCAGGCATTTGGTTAGTCGTCAAGCACAAACCGTTGGTGCCACCTAGGGATCTCTGGGGGTGGTGGAAGCCTACTGATGAACAAACACTACACTGGGATCAATACAATACAAACAAAACCCTTAACTAATAAATAAACCCTTTGAAGTAAATACAGTATATTCTCATGGAAACATAGAAGTGTAAATACCTGGTATGTTTCCACAGGCCTGTTTTCCATATTTAAGTCCCAAATTTTGACTGACAAATAGTCTCTAGTCATCATATATCGACCACTATGGCTGAATTTTACATCAGAAATAGAAGAGATGATTTCGGAAAAAAATGACCTGTTACTGGGATCTTCAGGTTCTTCAAACACTAAAAACAAGCAGAAAAAGAGCAGTGTACAAATATTCCCGCTTGAGCAAAGCATTTCCTGAAACAACCATTCACAAACTTTCTAAGTGATATAAAATGACAGGCTACTCCCCAAACCCAAACCAAACCCATTGCCACTGAGTTGATTCCGACTCACAGCAACGCTACAGGACAGAGCAGAACTGTCCCACAGAGTTTCCAAGACTGTAAATCTTTACGTAACCAGACTGCCACACCTTCTCCTGCAGAGCAGCTGGTGAGCTCAAACCACCAACTTTTTGGTTAGCAGATGAGTGCTTAACCATTGCACAACTAGGGCTCCATGACAGGCTAATAAAGGACTGAAATGCATCACGCTGGCTCTAACAACATAATTTCCCTGAAAGCTTTTTGAAAGATAATCAGTTAATACTGAAGTTGAAAATGCAAAAGTATATAGTACACTTCCAGAGTCACACAGCTAGTTCAGCAGAACTAGGCTCACTCAGAATTTCAGTATATGCAGAACATATTCTGCATACGCTCGCTGACTTTGTCCATATTGTCACAACATGAAATACACCTTCTTCACCATCCAAATTTATACTTGCATTTTATTTTTTACCGGGCAGGTAAAATTCCTTTGATAACAGGCATACACTGATTTTCAAGAGCTTTAAAAATATTCAACAACATAAAGACAAGAATACTGCAACCCCTTGATTTTTTAATACAATGGTTTTCAAACCTTTTTTTTAAGCCATGTAAACCTCTTCTCAAAGGAAATCCTCGCCAAGAAGATTAAAACAGAAAGAAAGGGAAGGAAGAAGATACACAGCAGGGAGAAGGAGGGGAAAGGGAAAAGAGGGAAGGGAAAAGGAGAAAGGAAAAGAAACAGCTTAGCTTGAATACAAGATTGAGGAGCTCCAAGGGCCCAACTACAAATTCCCAAAAAATAGCATTCTGCTGAAAACATATCCACTGGTGGGACAAGAGCAGAAATACTGCCAAGAGTTCTTCCAGTATAATAACCTCTACTGCCTCATGTCATTAGGCAGTTTAGCAAAGGATACAAGAGGTCTTGGGAACACCGATTAACAACTTGCAGCACAGGTTAACAACCTGCAAATCTACATAAATGTAGTTAATATGCCTGAAGCTAGTGTTATTAGACAAACAGAAAACATTATCATTTTAAATAAACTTACATTTAGAATGTCTATCACAGAGGGCAGATGCCCTCATGTCACATAACCGAATAGTTCCTTTACTGCTGCTGTATACAAACGTGTTACAGCTGTTTGGATGGAATTCTGCTGCTGTAATCACCTCAGTTAGCTCTTCCATATTGGCAGGCTTAATGTCCACAATATCTGAATACATTTTATTAAGGAGTTTCCACTTAGGAAAAAAGGCAAATATAATTCTAAATTTCTTAAACTTAAAAGCATTCATATACCTAAGCAAAAGTATTAATTCTAAACTACATTCTAGTAAATAGTTCAAAAACTGGTCTCTTGCACTGTTAAAAAAAAAGGACAAAAAAAAATCATAAATCATAATTCTTGACAGGCAGTATTCAGTTATCAACTTATATTTGTTTTCATTTAACAGTTTTCTTTGTAATGAGGGGAATTTAGACCCACTAGATGCCAAAAAGTATCCTAAATCTATATTAAGTAGAACAGAGTATAGATAACTCAATGGATCAGAATACAGTCCAAAGAGACCTAACATATGATAAAGGTGGCTGTTCATACCAGTGTGGGGCAAGAGTGATTCTTTTTTAAACGACTGAATATTTGGAGAGAAAATAAGCTAGGAATCTATATCTTACCCTTACATGAGAATAAATTCCAGAGGGATCAAAATTTTAACGCTTAAAAAAAATTCTTTGAAGAAAATATGGACATTTAATCATTTTAGAATGTAGAGGCCTTTCTAGTATGATACAAATCCCAGAATAAAAGACTGATACATTTATCTTCATAAATATTAAGAGAACTTAGTGTGCATTGGGGAAAAAAGAGAAACTCAAGGAGGAGGATTATTGCAACATAAATGATGGAGCAAATATACTTAACATAAAAAAGGTGCTTTAAAAAAATCAATATATATGCAAATCCAATGAACAAATGAGAAAAGAGCAAACATTTAAATGTTTGATACATATGAAACAATTATTCAAATCTACTCATGATGAGAGAAATGCAAATCAAAACAAAAAAAGTACTTTTCACTAACTTAGACTACTAAGGTATAGGGAAAGGAACTCATACATTGTTGGTGGGTTATAATTTAGCATAAAGCTTTGCTACTTTTTCAAATAGTATCTATTTCAAAATATATACATTAACAGTGGTAGTAATGCCTACTAACATTTATCAAGAATATTTAAAAAGCATTTAGATGGGGTTTGGAGAAGTATTTCCACTGACTTTATAACATTTTGACTTGTCTAAATTTCTTTTTCCAACTGCAACAAGAATTTATTTAAAAGTATACAATACTTCTCAAATTTCTTCTTTACAAAAAACTCAATGATTAAAAAAAGATGCTATAATAGACAAGACATTATAGCACACAATTCCTTAAGATCCTATGAATACAATTCTTAAATCAATACATGAGCCCATTTTCTTTATCGAGTAAGTTTTTCCCAATGTTTAATCACTCATATACAAAGAAAAAATGGTATAAAATAAGACATATATGTTAAAAGACAATATAGAAAGGAATAATCAAAATACATTTGGAGGGATGGAAATAAATCCAGTATAGGCACAGTATACCTTCCTTACTGAACACCAAAAAAAAAAACCAAATGGATACTAAAACTCCTGTCTGTAATTTCCAGATGCCAAAGATTAATCCGTAAATCATCTGCAGATAAATATGTTTCATAATCACTATTAATAGAAATAGAGTTGATGTGATATGTATGAGCATTGGCAAATATTCTTCGTGGACTGGCTTCAACCATTAGATCCATGGGCCTGAAGACTGGTACCTGTCAATAAGACACACGAAAAACATTTATTAAAAAATAGTCATTGTTTACAGCAGCAATCAAGGTTGAGAGCACTTCCTTATTTTAGTTTCTGAAGAAAAATAAAATACTACAATATTACAGGGATTTAGTTTTAAATAGCAATTGTTTATTTTTTTAAACGGTGTAACGCAAAGAAGAAAAACGAACAATTTGGATAATTTACCTTCTCTTACCAGCACCAGTAAAAGCAATTAGAATTTGCAGTCATTTTTAGTGCCAATCTTTTGCTTGTGAGATATGCAATGCTAATAAATGTGTATGGTTTAAATTAAAGAGGCTTAAAAAAAAAAAGAAATTAGCCCATAGCATCTAATTCTTGGTATTTGTGAGCTACAACTAGAATATCTGGGCCATTGCTACTTCTTCACTCTCCAAAGAAAATTAATTTTGAAATCTGATCTTGTAATAATAGCTGACATTCGAACTACAACAGCAAAACAGATTGTGGCATAGTGTAAAACACAGCCTGTGTTTGAGTCTTGGTTGTGCCCCTGATCAGAGAGAGACTTCTATGTTAGGTCCATTTCTATGTTTAAAATGGGAGGTAATAAATGTCCTACCTGGTTACAGAATTGCTGGGAGGGGAGCAGAATGTTATTATTCCTATTCAAGTTCTGCTCAGGATCTAGAATACATAATATGAAGACAGAAGACTATTCATCAGCATTAGAATAATTTTTTTTCTTATGTACTTACTCGTAGTGTAGTAACTGTAGTAGGATCTCTATACCTTCCATCTTCCTCTTTCAAGTTATACCCTTCTGGTCTTTTGTCCCTTTCACTGATTTTCCATAATTTTATTGTTTTATCTGGGGGGGGAATAAAGAAAGTCTTCAAACAAGGATGCTAATACTGATACACATTTTAATGCTATTTAGACATGTCATTTCATATTTCACCTAAGAATAAAATCCCTTGTCTGATGTAGTGAAAACAAAATTCCTATTACCAGGTAAATAAAAATACATACACATATAAATCCAGTAGAGAAACTGCAAATTTATATGTAAAGAGCACTCATATAAAATTTCACTTGATATTTAAACGAAAGTTACACCCAGGTCTCTATCCTTTGAAAATATTTAAAATCAGAGGGACAAAATGCAAAAGCTGGACAATGAATAAGGAAGACTGAAGAAGAATTGATGCGTTTGAATTATGGCACTGGCGAAGAATACTGAATATACTATGGACAGCCAGAAGAATCTGTCTTGGAAGAAGCACAGTCAGAATGCTCCTTAGAAGCAAGGATGCCAAGACTTCATTCTCCTGCACTTTGCAGATGTTATCAGGAGGGACGAATCCCTGGAGAAGAACACCATGTTTGGTAGAGGGTCAGCAAAAAAGAGGAAGACCTTCAACGAGATAGACTGACACAGTGGCTGCAACCATGGGCTCAAACACAGTAAGGACTGTGAGGATGGCGCAGGACCAGGCACTGTTTTGTTCTATTGTACACAGGGTTGCTATGAGTCAAAACCGACTTGACAGCACCTATCAACAACCTATGTGTGTATACACATATATAGCTACACATAAATACACACATATATAATTTTTAAAAATTTGAAGAGAAAAAACAAGGTAAGTTAAGATGTCCTATTACTCAGAATCAAAATTGTAAGGAATCTGGAACTCCCTTGGTCCTGCTTCCTAGAAGGCAAACAGTTTAAATTATTGAAGACTTCACAAATCCCTTCAGTGACCTGGATGCCTTGGTTTATACCTATCTTTTCCCTCATTATATCAGGGATTCCGAAGTAGGAAACAGGCAGGGCCTGAAAAAATATTGACTGATTAAAAGCATATGTCCCCAAGTCCTTTCAAGAAGACAAAAATTCTAAGTATGGAGATAGACAATACAGCATTCTACTTTTTAGTTTTTTGAACATTTTAGGTGAAAGTTTACAGAACAAATTAGTTTCCCATTCAACAATTTATACAGAGCTTGTTTCATGACATTTATTGCACTACTTTTTTTAATCAACTTTCCATTTTGGAATTTAGATATACAAAAAGCTGCAAAGACAGTAAGCTGTTCCCATATATTCTTCACCTAGTTCTAACAGTAACATCTTATGCAACCATGGTATATTTGTCAAAACTTAGAAATTAACATTCATATATTATTAACTAAACTAGACTTTATTCAGATTTCACCGTTTTCCACTCATGTCCTTTTTCTGTTCCAGGAACCAAACCACACTGCATTTAGTTGTCATGTCTCCTTACTCTCTTCTGACTTTAACTGTTGTTCACATTTTCCTCGTTATGTTCCATAACTTCAACACTTGAGGAATGCTGGTCAGGTATTTTGTAGAATGTCCCTTAACTGGGTTTGTCTGGTGTTTTCTCATGATCAGAACGGGATCGTAGTTTTTTAAGAAGAATATCAGAGATGAAGTGCCTTGTCATTGTATCACATCAGGGGGTAAATGGTATCAAGATGTCTGAAGCTGGTGACTTGGCTAATGCAATGTCTGCTAGGTTTCTCCACTATACACTATTTTTCCCTTGCCATCCTCCATTCTTTGGAAGCAAGTTACTAAGTTCAGTCCACCCTTGAAAGGCTGAATTAAGTTCCACCTCCTGGAGTGGAGAGTTATCTATACACATATTATTTGGGATTTTTCTGTAAGGAATACGCATCCTTTCTCCTCCATTTATTTACTTGTGCAATCATTTACTTCTATCAGTAATGATTCATGTATATTCAATACTTTGTGTTATAATCCTAAAATAGTATTCTTAAATAAAACTATTCTTAATGGTCTTTCATAAGCAAATGGGTGTAAAATAAAAACAAATCAGTCCCTTTATAAAAGCAGTTCAAAAGGGAAAAAAATTGTCCTACAGAAATATACTAGTGATTCTTCTAGCACAGTAATCTCTATCTTCCATTTGTAGAAGAACATTACAGTTGTCCTGTGGATGCCCTTTTCAAAGATGAAGTGTAAACGGAGAAACATGACTGACTGTAGTAACTTATAATCAATTACTTAATCTACTATTTTTACACAAATAACACGCGTCTTCTATGTTTGCCAACCGCGCCCTCCCCCCTACTAGGCATTTTCATAAGCACGTTGTGCTGATTTTTTTCCAGCAACATGTAAAAAAAAAATTGTCATAGCGGCACTTATGAAAATATCTCACATGGGGAGGGTAAGGTTGGCAAACAAACATAGAAGGCACATTATTTCCCTAAAAATACGTTAAGTCCTATGCAATCTTGTTTATAGTTATCTTGTAGTTAAGTTACATGTGTTTTAAGTTACATGTGTTTTCTAAGTGCTATTTAAATAATTTATATACATTTATAGAGTTAGGTAGGTAAAGAAACACATATTTTAGAATATTTTACTTGTTCAAAAATCTATTTTGTGTGTGTGTGTGTGTTGTTGTGTGCTGTCAAAGTGATTCTGACTCATAGTGACCCTATAAGGATACAGCAGAACTGTCCCATAGGGGTTCCTAGGCTGTAATCTTTACGAGAGCAGATCGCCAGGTCCTTTCTCCCGCAAAATGGGTGGCAGGTTTGAACTGCTGACTTTTGGGTTAGCAGCTGGGTATTTAACCATTGCATCACCTGGGCTACAAACACACAGACACTCACACATACCCAGCTTAAATTACATATATCTGCGAGAAGTATTTGTTCTAAAATAATCATCTGAAGATGACGAGGATAATTCCTTCCCTGTTCCCACAGTTGTCTTGTGGTCTGTTCAATTATCTTTAGTAAAGATCCACACAAATAAATCACAATATACTGATCAAATTTTCAAACAAGATGAGATTAGTCTGTGGTTTCTAACAGCGTTACAGGAAGAAAACACTAGAAAACCCTGACAAATCGGGCAAATAGATTTTTAAAAATTAAACTTCAAAAAAATTTGTGATTTAAGGGGTTTAAAATTTTTCAATAGTATAAACATATGACACAGAAGTACTAAGATACATGATTTCAGTGCAGTACTTGGGGACAAGGCAGGTAGGAAATAAAATAACTCTTGTAGTAAATACAGGAAACCCTGGTGGTGTAGTTGTGTAGCAGCTATAGCTGCTAATCAAAAGGTCAGCAGTTAGAATCCACCAGGTGCTTCTTGGAAACTCTATGGGGCATTTCTACTCTATCCTATAGGGTCACTATGAGTTGGAATTGACTCGATGGCAGCAGATTTGGTTTTGGTTCAGGTAGTGAACATAAAATATAAATTTAAAAAAAATCCTTATGCTCTCAGAAAGTAATTTTTTTTTTAACCTGGAGTTTTGGGCCCATAAAAGGAGGTATTTCAGAAGAATCAAACTGTATAAAACTGCATGCAAGATTATGTAAACAGATATACTTTTGTAGCGAGGATTATAAAATCTGTTTCTTCTAAAAGGTTAAGAACTACTGTTTATGATGTTTCCCGAAATTGTCAACACTTGACTTATGATGCTCACCATTAATAATTAAAGAAGTGTTCCAGTAGTCTTAAAGTCCTTATGTTCTTGTCTTGCCACTAACAGAGGTTTAGGGCAGGGAAAGCCATGCTGCCAAGTTCCCTTCTAAGGAATTCATCTTTATAAGATCCTAAAAACTTCTTCAGTTGTTCAAACAACTTAACTTATGAGTAAACTGTGTATTACTCATATATTTAAGACTCATGATTAACAGGTTAATCTGACTTTTTTGCAATGAGGAGGAATCACAGAGAATTCAGAGAAAGACAAAAAGATTAAAAAGAAAGAAAATCACTTTAGGAAACATTAAACAAACTGAAGTTATAAGGAAACTAATAAGTCATTTAAGTAAAATTCATCTGGGACACAAGAAATAGTTTATGATGATCATGGAAAACATGTAAAGAGAAAAATAAGATTAATTTTGGTTAATCAAAGCTGGAAACATTGGTTCTATTTTCTACCATTCACCCAACAAGTCGTTTTTAGTTGCTGTTGAGTTGATTCCAACTCATGGTGACTCCATGCATGTCAGAGTAGAAATGCTCCATAGGGTTTTCAAGGTTATGATCTTTCAGAAGAAGACTGCCAGGTTTGTCTTCTGAGATGGCTCTGGGTAGGTTGAAACCGCCAACCCTTCTGCCAGTCGTCCTGTGCTCAACTGTTTGCACCATCCAGGGACTCCCCTGCAGTAGCAGTCTCTCATCTTTTTATGAATATGAATGTCCATTACATTTGGGGGGAGGGAGTTATTATGCTTTATCTCATAGAGAAAACTTATACAAAATAATATAGACATTAATGCTGGTATTTTCCCATAACTGCTTTCTAAGAATAAAACTTTTCAGGTATAGCTAAAGTCCTACTCCTCCCATCCTTTTTCCTATTCTACAATTCCCAGATACAAGCCTAACCTGAAGCTGGTGTGTGAAGCTCTCATACCTGTTTTGTCCTTCCACACTGCATCAGTCAACAAGATCACTATTTTTACCACAAAAAAAATTGCAGCCCCCTCGACAGCTGTGTTTTACTTACTCTCCACCACAATAACAAGAAAGACAAAAACCTACAATGCATTCTGTAGTGCTTTTAATAGAAATTATATTATTAATCAGTATTTTTAAAACTTAGTAGTAAACATACTTGGAAGACACTGCTGATACTGTGTACAGGAGGAAAAAAAAAGAAAAAAATCTGTATACTCTTTTTGCTAGAGACTGGAATTCACAATGGTCTCTCCCTCCACTGAACTGCTGTAGTGTTTGTTGTCTAAAACCAGCTGCCACTGGGTTGGTTTCAACTCACGATGACCCCATGTGTGCCAAAGTAGAACTGTGCTCCATGGGGTTTTCAATGACTGATTTTTCAGAAGATCACCAGGCCTTTCTTCTGAGGTGCCTCTGGGTACTTGAACTGACAACTTTTTGGTTAGGTGAGCATATTAACCATTTGCAACATCCAAGGAACCAGGTCTAGAATGGCTCATTTGGTGCTTGTATGTTGCCTGCATTATTTCATACTACAAAGGAGCACATAGAAGCCTACCTGGAAGACATACGTGGATATAAACTGAGAGCTGAAAGGTATTTTAAGATTTAACCCATGAATGAACTAAAATGGGATTTGCTTCCAAATGATACTGGGGAGAAGGGAAAGGAGAAGTACCGAAGAAACAGGATTTGGCTATGAATGGATAATTGCTGAAGCTGGGTGATGGGTTTGTGAGACTTCATTATACTATTTTCTCTATGTTAGTGTATATTTTAAAATTTCTCTTTATAAAAAGATCTAGCCTATTAAGAAATGAACTGTCATAGTTCTTAGGAACAAATATTCCAATACAAGTATATTTCTTTGTGACATTTACTTCCAAAACTAGAAATTATATACATGGTACAATTAAGTATTGCTTGATGTCAAGGAAAAAACAAACAAAAAAAGTAGTAACTAAGAAGTGCCATTTGAAATAACTTAGTTTACCATAGAAATTAAAACTGAATCAAGATCAGAAGCCAATATATGGCATGAGTAAACACAAGTCCATCGATGATGCTGTGACTTATGGGCTTTGCATGGTTATTTCTGTTTTTCTTTTAATAAGAAGAGAGGAATGCAGTTCATGTGGAAAGAAAGGCACAGAGGGTACAAATCTCAGCAGGTTGGTTGGGGAGAGCTTTCATGATCAGAAAAATGGGCACCTACAAGGACGCAAACATTTATGGTTATCAGCTAGTGGCATCATTTTGTGGACTGGATTTCTAAGAACTTAATACATTGGGCTACGAGGCATAAGTTATATGGAGGCGGTACTCAACATCTTCCACCATGCTTACTCACAAGTCATCTGAGCTTACATTCTCCAAATGGTAAATAAAGAACGTAAGATCTAGGTGCTAGAATTTTATTTTAAATTTTATTAACAGTGAGGGGATGAGAAAATTTGAATGGCTTTTCACAGCCCATGTGCCAACGGCAGAAGTTTTAACCTAAGTTTTTATACACTATGCTTCCCAGAACCTGGAAGTATTCCTTAATCACTCTAATGACTCTCTTTAGACCCAAGAGATAACAACTCGAAAAGAAAAAAACGCTTTGAAGAACAAAAAGAAGTCACTCAACTCTTAACTCTTCATAAAGTACTCTAAATTCTGGTAGACTCATTACACAATTCTAATATTTCTTTAATAACTTTTCCTGGAAAGGCAAAACAGTATGAGAAGACTCTTCTTCCAGCTGTGTGGCTTGCTGGGAAGAAGGCAGTATGCCAATTCCATTTTTTTGTCCTTATCTGACAGAGGTCCAGAAAAGGGTTCTCCTAGAGAATATCCTTGAGAGGAGACCATATTTCAGAGAATATTGTGTATTTACAGTCTGAAATATTTTTTTGTAGTGTCTGTTGTTGTTAGGTGCCGCTGAGGTGGTTCCGACTCATAGCAACCTTGTGTACGACAGAAAAAAACACTGCCTGGCCCTGTGCCATCCTCATAATCGTTATGTTTGAGCTCATTGTTGCAGCTCTTGTGTAAATCCTTCTTAGCGAGGGTCTTCCTCTTTTTTGCAGACCCTCTACTAAGGATCATGTCCTTCTCCAGGGACTGGTCCCTCCTGATACCATGTCCAAAGTACGCGATACTTTGCTTGCTTCTAAAGAGCATATTTTGGCCATACTCCTTCCAAGACAGATCTGTTCGTTCTTCCGGTAGTCCATGGTATAGTCAATATTCCTCTGTCAACACTGTAACTCAAAGGCATCCATTCTTCCTCAGTCTTCCTTATTCACTGTCCAGCTTTCACATGCATACAAGGTGGTATCTTTGCTTTTTAGGACTTTAAAGAGGTCTTTTGCAGCAGATTTGCCCAATGCAATACGTCGTTTGATTTCCTGATTCTGCTTCCATAGTCACTGATTGTGGATCCAAGTAAAATGAAATCCTTGACAACTTCAATATTTTTCTGTTTATCATGATGTTGCTGATTGGTACAGTTGTGAGGATTTCTGTTTTCTTTATGTTAAGGTGTAACCCAGACTGAAGGCTGTAGTCTTTGATCTTCATCAGTAAGTGCTTGAAGTCTTCTTCACTTTCAGCAAGCAAGGCTGTGTCATCTGCATATCACAGGTCGTCAATGAGTCTTCCTCCAATCTTGATGCTGCGTTCTTCTTCATATAGTCCAGCTTCTCGGGTGATTTGCTCAGCATACAGATTGAGTAAGTATGGTGAAATGATACAACCCCAATGTACACCTTTCCTGATTTAAACCATGCAAATCCCCTTGTTCTGTTCAACAACTGCCTCTTGGTCTAAGTACAGGTTCCTCATGAGCACAATTAAGTGTTCTGGAATTCCCATTCTTTGAAATATTATCCATAATTTGCTGTGATTCATACAGTTGAATGCCTCTGCACAGTCAATAAAACACAGGTAAACATCTTTCTGGTATTCTCTGCTTTAGGCCAAGATCCATCTGACATCAGCAATGATAGTCCTTGCTCCACGTCCTCTTCTGAATCCAGCTTGAATTTCTGGCAGTTCCCTGTCAATGTACTGTTGCAACTGTTTTTGAAAGAGCTTCAGCATAATTTTACTTGCACGTGATATTAACAACACTGTTCAATAATTTCCACATTGTGCTGGATCACCTTTCTTTGGAATGGGCACAAATACGTATCTTTTCCAGTCAGTTGGTCAGGTAGCTGTCTTCCAAATTTCTTGGCATAAACGAGTGAGCACCTCCAGTGCTGCATCCGTTTGTTGAAACTACTCAACTGATATCCCATCAATTCCTGGAGTTTTGGTTTTTGCCAATGCTTCAGCACACCTTGAACTTCTTCCTTCAACACCATCAGCTCTTGATCATACGTTACCTCCTGAAATGGTTGAGAGACAGTACCTGACCTAGATCCAATGGCAAAGCCTGGGTTCTTTTCACTATAAACTGTGCCAGTGCACAAAAAGAAAAATTAGTACCTGAGACTCTCTTTCATATAATTTAAGAACTAAAAGAGAATAAAAAAGAGAAGGCAAGAAAGAGTTTGTATTCTGCACGGGCAATATTCCTGAAAGTCTATTCACAAAGATCTCTTTGAAAGTGGAGAATATCCTCTACAGGATATGTATACAAAGTGGGGACATGAAAATTTATAACAAAAAAATTACACTTACCATTGGTAGACAATAAAAACTGAGCAGCATTTTTCTGGGGCAACCACCTAATTTTGTTGATCTTTTCTTCTATTTCTAAACTTTTCAAGTAGTCAAACTCTGGTTCATGGCTCTGGAAGGTGCTGTAAACATTATATTCTCCTCTGCTATGAGACTGGATTTTGTTCTAAAATGCAAAAATAAATATTTGGACCACTGTTGAGAAAAATTTCAAAGCAATCAAGCACATAATCAATTCCAACAGATCTTGCAAATACTCTGTTTTTATATTTAACAGCCTTCAAGGAGTAAATAAGAAAGCTTAAAAAGGGAAAAGCTAAATAATGCCTAATAATCTAAGCCCAAATTCAATAAGAAAATACAATAAAATATGGATCATTTTGATTACCTGGATATAATTAATTTGCTGTTTTGATATATTAAATAACACAGAGGTATACTGACAAAAATGTGAACATCTATAACAAGGGAGCTCATCTAAAAAATAAAGATAAAAACTTGCTCAGAAACAGCTGGCTGAGGCATACTTCTTTCTCTGCCTACTTAATGGTCGATTCTCAATCTGTTGTTTAAGATAAAGTATCTTCCCTCCTTTTCTAATTCTGCATTAGGTTGTTTCACTGCTGAAAATCTTTCTAAGAGAAGAGTTCTGGTAAATGCAACGACCCCACTTGACCCCTCCTCCCCCTCCTCATGATCCTATCGTTGAGATAAGATTTGTAAATACCCTATTCCATAAACCATTTGTATGGAGCTCTGTTACTGATTAAGTTCATAATCAGCATTATCCAGGACCTCCTCCAAGCCGCCTCAGCACCTACTGCTTACCCTCCCTTCTTATGAGACTAGCATGCACTGATAATGAGTTTCATTTAGTATCAGTGTGAGAATAATATAGTTTAAATGATTAGACAGACTTGTGAACTTTAGTAACACTAATGCCTCAGAAAAGCTGAGTTTTAACCATGTGTAGAATTTAATCTTTTAGCCTATTATGACATCATTAAAAATCTATCAAAAATCATTAAACAGCTAATTCAAAGAATCTACTGAAAAATAATTTAAATGAAAGATAGCAATGGATATTATTGATAAATCAATTAAACGTAAATTATAAAATGAAAGTTTTGTTTAGATACTTGTCAACAGGAATAATTATTAAAGATTATTATCATCTTGAATGTATATGTTTTGGGTTTTTTCCAGTAGCTTATCTGCATTGATCATTCATTGATACAGTTATATCTGGACCCTCTGATAGTATCAAATATTAGTGAGTTCGCCAATGCTAAGAATGCAGAGATATCACAGCAAATAATCTACCCTGGGGATAGGAGAGGGTAAAAATCAAACCCAGAACCTTGATCTCTTTATCACACTCTTATCCCAAATGAGATAACCTAGTCCATTACATATATACACTCTGATATCAGTTTAGAAGAAATTCCATAAATCTTCTACCTAAAATTACTCACCCAGTCTCACAAGGTTTATTCATCATTAAAACCAAAATCAAACCAAATCCACTACAGTGGAGTCAACTCTGACTCATGGCAACCCCATGTGTTACAGAGTAGAGCTGCTCCATAAGGTTTCTTAGCTGTAATCTTTATGGAAGCAGATCACCAGGCTTTTTTTCCATGGTGCCACTGGGTGGCCTTGAACCACCAATCTTTGGGTCAGTAATCGAGTGTAACCTGTTTGCACCACCCAAGGGCCTTATTATTTATCATTATGCTCTCCAAATAAAAAAAAGATGCAAAAAACAGCAATTAAAATTTTAATATAGATGCTGTTTTCAACTTTGGTTTTTCATTTAGTAAACAAGAAACTATGGTACTAGGTAAACTAGGTTCTAGAAGAACAGAGACTTAATAACGAAGAATCCCTACCTTCAAGTAACTTGTGTACATAAAACGTTAGTCAAAAGTAGAAACTGATTAAGGTCCATACAATTCTGGTAAGCAATATAAAGAGCCATGGGCAAACCACAAATCATTCCATATGCAAAAGCTGAGTCTGTATGGATCACACAGGATTTGGTGATGTGTAAAGAAAAACAAACACAAAACTATGAAAGAATTCTCTAAAACAGAAAGGGAACATCATCCTGAAGACTCATGATCTATTACAAGATCTAAAAACAAAATCACAGAGGTGTTTGGCAGTCTCAATGGAATGCAAGAAGCACTGTTTCTTTTTAAAAGAAAAAAATAAATCACAAGGAGAAAATTATGTTTAAAAAATTAACGCTGTCAAACTGAATATATGCACTAGCTAGCCTCCGCTCTTTCCTTGAACTCCACTAACACTGCAGTAAAATAATTTTTAAAGAGAAATTCACATGGATAAATAACAGCAATGATGACGGTGGCAGTAACAAAACAGAAGAGGCTGTGAAACATGCATGAGTGGTAAGTGACTTAAGATTATCCTCGGTAACATGGGTAGTGCTCATCCAATCAGTTGAAGGCCTTAAGAGCAAAACTGAGTTTCACAGAGAAGGATTTCTGCCTGAAGACAGCAGCATCAAATCCTGCTCGAGTTTCTAGTCTGCCGGCTTGTCCTACAAATTCCAGACTTGCTAGCCCCACAATCACATGAACCAGTTCCTTAAAATCAACCAATCTCAATCTGTGTGTGTGTCCTGCTTTGTTTCTGGAAAACCCTAACACACTTACCTTTGCAATCCCTAAGAGAATCTACTTTCCTAACCAAACAGATTTATTTGTGTGGAATTTTCTATAATAAATTTATAAGAGCTTTATTCCCAACACCTATAATAGTAGCTGGAATGTAACAGGTATTCAATAAATATTTTCCAAATAAACAATAACAGCAAAAAGAATGAGCAAAGGTGGGACTGGTGTGGTAGAGAGAGACTGGAGGTAACCTGGTAGACAGGAGTACTGTGCAGAAATTAGAAAGAATGGGTTAGATGTATAAACAGCAACCTAGAGGATCTTGAAAGTACAGTTCTTAGCGAAAAAAGTAGGTCACAGAAGGAGACAGAACACATAGGATTCTTTAAATGCATTAAAAACATAGAACACAAAACCAGAATTAAACATTTTAAACACACATGCAAGCTGAATCCATAAATATATAAAGGATACTACATCATGACCAGGGGACAGTGGTGGTTTAGCAGTAGAAATTTTGCCTTCCACGCGGGAGACCTGGGTTTGATTCCTGGCCAAAGCGTCTCATGTGCAGTCACCATCTGTCTATCAGTGGAGGCTTGTGTGTTGCTATGATGCTGGACAGGTTTCAGTGGAGTTTCCAGACTAGGAAGAAAGGCCTGGCAATCTGCTGCTGGAAAATTGGCCAACGAAAACCTTATGGAATATAATGGTCCGATTCCAATGTGCATGCGGTCACCATGAGTTGGGGGCTGACTCAATGGCAGCTAACAACAACAACATCATGACTAAGTTATAAAACAAAGTAATTAAGACAATGTGGTATTGCCAAAGGATAAATATACCAAGAAAAAGGAACAGACGGCCCAGAAATAAGCCTGAATTATGACAAACTGGTCTTGCTGAGCAACCAAGGGTAGTCTTTCCACCAAATGGTGTTAGGTCAACTGACTATTCATATGAAATAAAATAAACCTCGACCCCCTACACCTCAAAGCATACAAGTAAATTGATTCCAGGTGAATCAGAGGTATAAATATGAAATGTACAATAATTAGGTTCTAGGACAACTCTGGAAACCCTGGTGGAGTAGTGGTTAAAAGCTACGTCTGCTAACCAAAATTTTGGTCGGCAGTTTAAATCCACCAGGTGCTCCTTGGAAACTCTATGGAGCAATTCTACTCTGTCCTATAGGGTCACTATGAGTTGGAATCAACTCGATGGCAATTTTTTTTTTTTTAAAGGACAACTCTGTCTATAGAGCCTTCTGCAATGATAGAAATGGTCTGTATCTGTGCTGTCCAGTATGGTAGCCACCCATGGTTACTGAGCATCTGAAATGTGGCTACTGCAACTAAGAAAGTGAATTTTTAATTTTAATTAATTTAAATTTAAATAGCCACATGTAGCTAGTGGCTACTCTACAGGACAGCACAGTTCTCAAAGATAACAGGAATATCCTCCTGAACTTTGGGGTAGAGAAATATTTCTTAACAGGACAGTGAAAGTAGTAACCCGAAAGAAAATACTGATAAACTGGATTGGGTTAATATTAATAACCTCAGTTTATCAAAATATATCATTCAGAAAATGAAAACGCAAGTCACAGAACGAAAAATACTTCCAACAAATGTAACTGACAAAGGGTTTATATCCACAAAGTGTAAAGAAAATCTACAAATCAATAAGAAAACTGACAGATAACCTAGTAGAAAAATGTGCAAGAGATGAGAATAGGCACTACACAAAAGGCAATAATATCCGAAGTGCCCCACCCCAAAAAAGCCCTATAAAAAGACACTCAACTTCAACGCTAGTAAAGTACAAATTAAAACCACAACAGGATATGCTCATTGTTGTTGTCATGTGCCATCAAGATGATTCAGACTTACAGCAACCCTATAGGACAGAGCGGAACTGCCCCCACAGGGTTTGCTAGGCTGTAATCTTTATGGGAGTAGGTCGCCACTTCTTTTCTCCCGTAGAGTTCAAACAGCCGACCTTTCCGTTTGAAGCGGAGCACTTAACCATTGTGCCACAGGACCCCTTGGATACACTCAAATCCTCACCAAAATGTTCAAATTTTAAAAAGAGTGACAGTACAAACGTTTGGCAAAGATATAGTATAATCAAAATATTCATATATAGCTCATGAGAATGTAAGCTGGCGGAAACGCTTTTTTCTGTGTTGCTGCTGTTAGACGCTGTCTGACTCATAGCGATCCTATGTACAACACAACAAAACACTGCCCTGTCCTGCGCCATCCTCACAATTGTTATGCTCGAGCCCAGTGTTGTAGACACTGTGTCACTCCATTTCGTTGACGTGCTTCCTCTTTTTTACTGACCCTCTACTTTACCAAGCATGATGTCCTTCTCCTGGGACTAGTCCCTCCTGATAACATGTCCAAAGTATGTAAGATAAAGTCTCACCACAGTTGCTTCTAATGAGCGTTCTGCCTGTACTTCTTCTGAGACAGATTTGTTTGTTCTTCAGGCAGTCCATGGTATATTCAATATTCTT